CCGTTACACCACGAAGGCAGTGAAGCTGTAATATTATGTGGTCAGATCCATGGCTTAAATCCACGGATCTTACGACCACGAATCTGACGATAATTCAATTAAGAAGGTATTACTGTAAAACTATAAATAAAATCGTATTTATTTGTACTCCAGTGCCTACACAGGGATAAACGTATTATTAATCAAAGACCAGTTAAGTGAAACTATTCTCAATTTAACAGCAAAACGAGCCACGAGTTGTACCTACCCCGTTGGAGAAACATTTGCAGAAGTCAAAGAACTTACCTAAAATTTTTGGCGCGAAATCTACAGGCACTACCTTCCCGTCCGAACACTGCCGGTCAACAAGCGATCTTTTGGACCAATCGCAAGACGATTACCCCGTATTCCACTAAATAAATTGTCATAGTTCCGCCGCGAGATTGAAACTATGCCCACCGCGTGACATGTATTTGAACGAATAAAGGTATACTAGACTTTGATTATTTTAGAACAGTTTATTCATGATCTAGATAGAATAACTCTTTATGTATTTAAAAAAGAATATATATTCATGTATAACCTTGAGCGTAAAAAAAATATTCACTATAACATAGCAAGAGTCGCGCGTGTGACACGTAAAAATCTAGTGCAATTACCGTGTTTTTCAGTTTCAAATGGATATTTAACCAATTTCTTTAATTAACTAATATTTTTTATCAATGGGGCTTAACACTACAATAGTTAAGTAAAGTTTGGAGTGGTACTTTATTCAAGTTGGTCTATTACTCCAGTTAATATTTCAATGTGACCCTTAAAATCATGGGTCCCAGGAATCACCCGAATGTTATTGACTCAGAAAATCATGTGACGAATTTTTAAAAATAAATGGTAACATCGTATACACCTACTAATCTAAATATATAATAAAATAAACTGACCGATTGACTGACTGACATATCAACGCACAGCCCAAACCGTTAGGTAGGTTCATTATGAGGTGTAGGAGTGCACTAAGAAAGGATTTTTCAATATTCACCCCCGTTAAAAGACGATGAAAGTTTGTATGAAAAATCTTATTTCATAAGTTAATAGACATGTACTTGGCACGAATACTTACGAATATGTAAATAAATTATAAAGTTTGCCATTTCTAGTTTTCCTAAACGGGTAGTTTCCTAGAACCTAGAAGGGTATTGGGAGGGTGTCGAAGTTTTTATATGGATTAATTTTAACGCGCATTTTGATTCACTCGAAACATGCTATTTTTACGGGTGTTTAGGGTTTTTGGATTTACCTCTAAGAGGGTAAAAAAGGGGATGAAAGTTTGTATGAAAAATCCAACTCTTTGAGTTAATAAAATTATACTCTTGGTACGAATACTTATCTAAATATTGCCATTTTTGGTTTGCCTAAACTACCCCAAAAGGGGGGATTGGAGGGTGTCGATGTTTTTATATGAATTAATTTTAACGCGCATTCGATTACCTCGAAACTCAGTATTTATACTTGAGATCAGAAATAAAGAATAACATGTATCTAGATTTTTGAAATTCTACCCTTGAAGGGTAAAAATGTTGTATGTTTATATTTCTTTGGTAAATAGACTTGAAACTTGGCAAAAATACTTATATAAATAAATTATAAAGTTTATCAGTTTTAGTTTTCTCCTCTCAGTTGCTGATGGTCATGCGCCGTTTTACGTCAAAGTTGGTTACGTCATCTGTCAACATTCCTGCTGGGTGGGAACGATTGCATTGTATTGCCGATTTCTCTTTTATTTCGTAAGAATACCCCACACAAACTATATATATTTGGATTCTCCATAAAATTTACTATGAAACAGTGTCGTCTACACAATGCGTCATGTCTATAATTTATTTTAATTACGTTATTTACGGTAAACTCGGGAAAGATAAAAAAAAGACGTTCAGATGGGTAAAATGGAGTATATCTTCAAAATTTTAAAATTTCATGTCCAGGTTTTTTAATTATTTGCACATTCTATTATAACTTACCAAATAAAATCATAAAATACCATACTCCCACAATTTAATTTTGGACTATAGCTCTCACAATCCACGCGCCAGATGCGTAAACAAACACGCATTAGAAAAAACAGGTGTCGGGTTTCCAATAGGCGATATGCGCAGACGGGCGGCCTGAGTGCCATGATTTATGGGTTTACGGTTAGTTAAGATTGTAAACATCACTTTAAAAACAAGTGTGGCATTAATAGTACTTTTTATTTTTATAGTTTTAAGAACTTACAACAAGGCATTTTAAAATCGCCTACAAAGCAGTCCTCTCAGTTTGATGTCGATAAAACGAAAAGTATTTACAATTTTGATAAACAGTTTCTTTTATCAAAATGTACATTAAATTTGCTTTAGAATAAACAAAAACTAATCACTTGTTCGCATACAAGAAAATAATATGAAAAAATATTTCGTTCGAATATTTGAATTTAGAACGACCGTTACACTGCGCGGCTTTTGTTTTTTTTTATTTCTTCAAAAATACTAACTCAAGAGATTCTCTGTATTCGAAATATTAATCATGAATAATTTATCTAATAATTATAAATTAAAACATTACAATTATTATCGAAATTATCACCATGAAAACATAAGCCACAAACCGTTTTTTTTATTGTTTTTTTTACGAGGTCGAGAACATAAAAATTATAAAAGAAACACGTAAACCCGCAAACGAAACATCAAAATAGAGTATCTTAATGTATTTAACTTGCCCAGGGATGGTGTCTTTTTTTAAAAAACCACTGAAAAACACTTTAAATAGTCTGAATACACGGCATATTTTTTTTCATACAAAAAACGGCGAACGACGAACTTCCACAGACAACTGTATAAATATTTCATATGGCAGTTGACTTAATCAATGGCTAGATAGCTAGCCTGTTCTTTCCTCTACAAATTGATATAAGAATGTAGGTGATAGCAATAAGAATGAATATTTTAATTGACACAGATTACGTAGAGTCGCGCGTTGCCTAATGTCGGGCCATCAGCAATATAGCGATTTTTGACAGATGCCGAAAGTAGGGATGTCATCAATTGAGAGACCAAAATTGAGACCACCAAAAAAGGGGATAGAGGGTGTCAAAGTTTTAAATGGATAAATTTTAACGCGCGTTTCGAAAAAGTGAAGTCTAATATGATACATGGGACATGCGAAAGTTTTAATTATAAGTTACCTTGTACGAAAATCAAAAATTGCTCTCAGAGGTATCCCACGCCTCTACTTAGTAAAACAAAAACCAGGGACGACGGCTACCCGCAATATAGAAGACGTTCTCCAGACATAGGTGGCTTTTGACATTAATGGAGTATAGTATATAGTAACAGTTCATTTGAGAATATTTAACGCGCATATAAACATCGAATTATGTCACTTTCTTAAATCAATAAAATACGTTTTCAAATACATAAATAAAGAATCCGACAAGGCCACTGTAATTTTAGAAAATGAAAAAGATAACGTATAGATTTACGAAAGTGGGAAGTACATAAATAGTCCGGAGGCGGTAAGGTGGTTTATTTTCAATACATGAATGCTTCCCCATCATGTTTCATCTTGCGATTCATATGGGAAATGGCCAAAGAGTATATTTTAATCAGCAAAACCTCGCAGATAAACTTACAAACCCAGCAAAAACTACACTTCTTGCCTTCTTTGAAAATATAAAAGCGTTTACCTTAGTAGAGGAGTTGTCATGTGCGTATTGACCCAAAGTCCATCACCACAAAGAATAACAAATAATAGAGCAGACCTCACCTCTGGTCGGGGTGGAGCTTCGAGTAAGTCGGTGGTCGCGCTGGATAGCCAACAGCAGCGGTGGGGACTGGGTTCTAATGCCGCCCCGTTCCCCAGCCGTGCGTGCGCCCAAAGCGGGGGTCATTACGACGACGACGACGGCCGCGCCGTTCGTATATGTCACCTGAAAATTTACAAACATTAAAGTGAAAAATAAATATTTCTAACATTCACACCAAATGGCTCGGAGATTTTGTGTGGTTTCGTTTGAAATTCGTGATTTCTCGAAAACCGGAAGTGCTAAACTCCAGAGTAAACACTGTTTACTTGTGATATGGGATACAAGGGTAACGGATACGATATATATACTGATGCATATATAAGTATATTTATCTAGAGATACATATAAACAGGCCCCGAGCGCCAGATTTTAAAACGTACATACCAGGGATGTTACGGAGCTTCGACTCCGATTCCGTTAAGTCGGAACTTCCGATTATTATTACACCTTCGGTTCCGACTTTGGCTCCGACACTTTTAAATCGGAGGTTTATCGGAGGTCGAAGCATAACATATCGGCGGCGGCCTGCGTCGACTGTTTTGAACAGGTTCATACATGTCGCGCGAGGAATCCCTCTGACTCCCGCTACGTGCGCTCTATCGTCAAATATTTTTTCACGTCTTATTAGTTTTGTTAGTTTGTTACGCACACGACACGTTCATAGGTCATAAACATTTGTTTTGATTTTGGCGACTTAGTATTAATAAAAGAAATCTGTTTTTGTGTTGGACAATGAAACCAAAATCAAAATGTATTTGGAACTACTTCATTGAAGTTAATTCAGATTTGGCAAAGTGTAAACTGTGTATGAAGACGTATTCAAGAAAGGGAGGTACGACAACGTCACGTCGTTAAAAGGTCATTTAAAGTCTGTCCGTGCCACTGACTACGAACAATTAATAAAATTAGAAACTAAAAAGAAAAATACAGTACAGATTTCGACTTCGACGCCTCTTCAGGGTGCTTAAAAACAAATAACTTTAACTTCTACGCCTCTTCAGGGTGCTTAAAAACAAATTACTTTAAAGAAACTTTGCTGAAGAATCAAAATTGTACTTCTAATACTAAATCTATGTAAATTGACAGATTGATTTCTGCAATTTCTGCTTTACAAGATCTGTAAAAAAAATGAATGATAAGTGTTTAATTTGTCCGTAAATAAAAAATATCTCTCCTGCCACATTTACCTTAGTAGGAGAGTTGTCATGTGCGTATTAACCCACAGTCCATCCCCACAAGGAATAACAAATAATAGAGCAGACCTCACACCCGGTCGGGGTGGGGCTTCGAGTAAGTCGGTGGTCGCGCTGGATAGCCAACGGCAGCGGTGGGGACTGGGTTCTAATGCCGCCCCGTTCTCCAGCCGCTGGGATGCCAGCATGGCGATGTGCGTGCGCCCAAAGCGGGGGTCATTGCGAGGACGACGACGGCCACGCCAATTCGTGTATGTCACCTGAACAAACATTAAAGTAAAAAATAAATATTTCTAACATTCACACCATTTGGCGTAACTTCAGAGTTAGCACTGTAAGGCTTGTGATATGGGATACAAGGGTAACGGATACAATATATATACTGATGAATATCTATACTAATATTATAAAGAGGAAAAGTTTGTATGTAAGTATGTTTGTAACGAATTGGCTCAAAAAGTACTTTACCGATTTTAAAAATTCGTTCACCATTTGAATGCTACATTATCACTAATTAATATAGGCTATTTTTTTTTTAAAGTTAGGGTTCCGTATGAAAACTTCGATAATGTAACCCAACGTGAGTAAAATATACCAAAAAATAGCCTTATATCGCGTACGCTGCGGAAGTCATTGATAATAGAGCAAAGTGATGTACTAAAGTTTTATAGATGAAACTAATACCCACAAAAAAGTTCGCGATACCATAGGTCTAACTATTACAGTTATGTCACAACGAGAGGTTCCCTGCGGTTTCAACCGCGTTAATTTGAAGAAAAAGATTTATAGTGAGTCAAACTTAAAATATGTACATAGGCTGTCGTGGACTTTTTTACAGAACTTTTAAAGGGGAAAAATTCCGTCGTACATGATTTTTGTGTAACTTTAACTGTTTACCCAGCGCAAGCAACGGAATCACACTAATGGAATATTTATACCCGTTTTTCATCGATGTTCCGCTGCTACTGGTCATAGCCTGGGAATATATAGCCTATAATAGCCTTCCTCGATAAATGCATTGTCCAATACAAAATGTATTTTTCAAATCGGAACAATTTTGCATTCGGTACAACGGGTCCTAAACTACGCAAAGATTTTTTTTCTTAAAATGGAAGGTTTATAATTATTATGAAGAAAGACATTGTATATAATACAAGCCTTTGAACAAAAACTATAGTCTACACTACAGCTCTACACCGAAGCAAAGCGAGGGCTGGCCACTAGTATATTTATCTAGAGATACATATAAACATCCATCACTGATACAAATGCTCGCATTCGTCACGCGAACACCTGGCTGCAAGAGCTGCTATTAGGGGCGCAGAAACCATACAAAAGCCTTTGTAATTAACTATATTTTGATCGTAAATGGCCCCGAGCGCCAGATTTTAAAATACGCCTCTGTGACACCTTGAAACTCGTGGTACATACCCGGGATGTTACGGAGCTTCGACTCCGTTAAGTCGGAACTTCCGATTATTATTACACCTTCGTTTCCGACGTCGGCTCCGACACTTTTGAATCGGAGGTTTATCGGAGGTCGAAGCATAACATATCGGCGGCGGCCTGCGTCGACTGTCATGAACAGGTCCATAATGACTCCGCCCTGGGGTACACCGGCTGTGAGTTGACAGCAGGCAGACAGTTTGTCGTCAACACGGACACATTGGGATCGTCCGATTAAATAACTGCGAAACCACGCGACAACGTTATCGGATACAAAAGCAGATTTTAACATTGCCAGAAGGATATCGAAATCAACAGAATTAAATGCGTTAGTGAAATCTAATAAAACTAAGGTTGTAAGCTGTTGATTAGACATTCCCTCTCGCACATCATCAGACATCTTAGTTAAGGCAGTAACGGTGCTGTGTCCCGGACGAAAGCCAGACTGGAAAGGACAAAGGATATTATTAAAGTTAGCAAATACGCTAACCTGGTGGAATACAAGACGTTCCAAGACTTTTGACAGGAAAGGAAGAATAGAAGTAGGTCTGAAATGAGAAGGTTGGGTAGGATTTGAAGATTTAGGAATGGGGATGACAACAGCCTTGCGCCAGCAGCTCGCGACTTAGTAACAATAAAAGAAATTTGTTTTTGTATTGAACAATGAAACCAAAATCATGTTGTGTTTGGAACTACTTCATCGAGATTAATTCAGATTCGGCAAAGTGTAAACTGTGTATGAAGACGTATTCAAGAAAGGGAGGTACGACAATATCGTTAAAAGCTCATTTAAAGTCTCCGTGCCACTGAATACGAACAATTAATAAATTTAGAAACTAAAAAGAAAAATACAGTACAGACTTCGACTTCGACGCCTCTTCAGGGTGCTTAAAAACGAATTACTTAAAAAGAAACTTTGCTGAAGAATCAAAATTGGTGTACTTCTAATACTAAATCTATGTAAATTGACAGATTGATTTCTGCAATGAATGCTTTACAAGATCTGTAAAAAAATTTGAATGATTAGTGTTTTATTTGTCCGTAAATAAAAAACCTCTTTCCTGCCACATTTACCTTAGTAGAAGAGTTGTCATGTGCGTATTAACTCAAAGTCCATCACCACAAGGAATAACAAATAATAGAGCAGACCTCACCTCCGGTCGGGGTGGGGCTTCGAGTAAGTCGGTGGTCGCGCTGGATAGCCAACGGCAGCGGTGGGGACTGGGTTCTAATGCCGCCCCGTTCCCCAGCCGCTGGGATGCCAGCATGGCGATGTGCGTGCGCCCAAAGCGGGGGTCATTGCCACGACGACGACGGCTGCACCAATTCGTGTATGTCACCTGAAAATTTACAAACATTAAATTAAAAAAAATTATCTCTAGTATTCAGTATTCAAATCCGGAGTAAGCACTGTAAGGCTTGTGATATGGGATACAAGGGTAACGGATACAATATATATAATGATGCTTAAATAAGTATATTTATCTAGAGATGCATATAAACATACATCACTGATACAAATGCTCGCATTTGTCACACGAACACCTGGCTGCAAGAGCTGCTATTAGGGGCGCAGAAACCATACAAAGGCATTTGTTACGAACTATATTTTGATTTGATAATTCGAGAGGGGGGGCAATCAAAGCATCGTAAATGGCCCCGAGCGCCAGATTTTAAAATACGCCTCTGTGACACCTTGAAACCCGTGGAACATCCATACATACCTTTTTTTTTATTGTTGGGAAAATACTTGACGCATACCCCGCCCCTGGGTGAGAGACGGGGTTATGTGGGAATCCTCCTCCCCCCAAATGATGGGGTGGGGGGGGGCTACCGACTAAAAACCCAACAGTGCTTCCTCGCCTGCCGGAACGGGCGGACGACGGACCACCCTGTCCGCCGTCCGCTAGCCTCACTAGGAAATAGGCGGTCGTACCGCCGCCTCCTTCTACCCCGCCGTCGGCATCGGAGAGGGCTGGCCTGGGCGTCTGCCTCGCGGACTCTCTCCGCTGTCTCCTCCTGGAGGATAACTTCCTCGCAGAAGGAGATTCTACCACAGTCCAGGATCTCCTCGAGGGTGTGCTGCGCCGTTTCCCCGACAGCGCCACAATGATGGCACGACAGGGTCGCTTCCCTCCGTATGTGATGCAGGTAGCTGCCAAAGCATCCGTGCTCTGACAGCACCTGCACCAGACGGAAGGTCAGTGACCCATGCCTCCTCTGCCTCCATTGGCTGAGCACTGGTCGCAGCGCCTCCAGGGTCCTGGTCCCATACTGTTGTGCCCCTAGCCCCTCGATCCACTATTCCAGGACGAGCTCCTTTAGCCTCCGCCTGTGAGTGACCACCTCCTCTGGCGTCAGTCGCTCCCCTCGCTACCGGGCCTCCGCCCTTTCCCAGTATAGGCGGGACAGCGTCTTCGCCTCCAGCGCCCAAGGGGGAGACCCTGTTATTGCGCAGAAGGCCGCAACCGATGTGGTGCAGTAGGCTCGCGCAGCCCTTTGCGACACTATTCTCTGTGACCTGTGCATTAAGGCCTCGCTACCCGCGCCTATACAGTCTGCCCAAATGGGCGCCCCATAGAGGGCCATGCTCTTGATGACCCCAGCGTACAGTTTGCGATAACTGGCGCCGGGGCCACCAACATTCGACATCAGCCTGCCGAGTGCCGCCGCTGCACTGATCAGCCTTGGGGCCAACTGCTACATCCATACATACCTACCACTCGAGACACGAAGTCCGTAAAAAAATATCACAATATCGTATCAACAATGATGATACTTATATTAAGGTAACTTTTCTGAATCTATATCCGGCATACTATAAAAAAAAAAATATTCGATTTTTTATTAAGATTATCAGGCATGTATTTGAATAATTAAGGCGGTTCACCCACTGCACCGTGTTCCGTCGCGTAGCGCGGCAGCGCACAGATTTTAACGTTGTATGCTACTATCTCGATTTGTATAGAAATCCCGCGACCTACCACACACTGACCAAGCAACGGCGTGCGGTGGCGCGTCTGGGAGCAACTGGCGCGCACGCGCGCGGCGTACCGCGGGGTATAACACACTGAGCTCCCCGGTCCCGCACGGGTTTTTAATACTTAAGGATGTTTTTCACGATGGATCTTGAAATATAATATTTGGAATTTAACATCGCCCAGCAATTTCAAACCAAATTGTAGCATCCTGAATGACTTTGGTTCTATCACCACCACTAGGGTTGCAAACTTTTATTACAAGAAATAGAGTACATCTAATTTCAAGGAAGGTAAATAAAGTGGACGGACTTATAAAAAGGATTAGGCACGAGTTCGAAAACGGCTAAAATTTTAGCTCACGACTGAAGCAAAACTCTAAATTTATTTGTGACACCTCAACGCACCGTTAACTATATTATGTCACGTTTCTCTGCATAACATTGCAAATTGTAACTAATTTACTTCTTACGGTTTCATGAGTTTGAGGAAAAATTTGCGCCTGAGTTCGTAAACTTAAATTTTGTTTAACTATTATGGAGTCTGCACAGCTTCATGGCACTGATTCTGACTTTGATTCTCGTATATTTGGTAAACCAATACATAATAGTCATGATAATTATCAACTAAAAATGGCAGTAATATGCGCAATGTTATGAAATAGTATAAAAAAAAGTTAATAATATAAACAAGTACAGTAGTCTATAATTCTGTTAAGTAAGGAACAATACTTCTTACACAGTCGGGACCCATTATTGAAAAAAATATCCACTCTTGAATATCTAATTAGTAACATGAAGTAATATCATTAAAATAAACTTTGAAAACAATATAATTCTGAGATTTTCATTAAATTTCAATAATCATAAATACATAGGTATTTAATATATTTATGATAATTTATTTTTCATTATTTTATAAGAAGGAACTATATCGTAGTTTTATTGTAAGTACCTACTTCGTGTAGGATTAGATACTGAGAAAGCCCATTTTTTTCATTTCCTCCTAGATTTTATCTACTCTTATAAACACCAAAATTCATCAAAATTTCTTTTCCGACTATTTGTGCAGTCTACTTATGCGTACACTATCACTTTTTCATCATTGTAACTTTTTAAATATTTGTCGAAATGACATAGTGTAAAAGGAAAAGTTTTTGTGTTCTTTAAATATCAGAAGCGGTAAAAGTATTTGTTTTGATAAAAAATGTGCATTTTTTCAAATGGGTATCAAATAATATTTTATTTTTGATTTACTATTTTAGCACTAATGGCTTACACATTAAAAATAGACATAAGTGCTGTCGCGGACTTTTTGTAGAACTACATATTTAAGAGATATATTTCCACTATATATTATATTCATGTGACTTTTATTGTTTTTGCAGTGCAGGCCAAAATGGCTCGCAGATGGGAGACTTTTTCCAACTTACGTGACACTTATTGCTGCATACATTATTATATATATGATAGTATCATTTATTAATGTTAGGTTTCATTAAAATCCATTCAGTATTTTTTGGGTCCAAGAGTAACATACATTCATACAAACGTAAGATAGAAATTAAATGTGGTTAATATACAACTTTCACTTTCAACAATTGTTGAGAGAACGTTCGCACAGGAGTTATTAAGAGCGTTGTGTTTAAAAATAAATCAAGAGAATTATTTAAACAATCCTTTTCAAACAATTGTAGCAAATTATTTTTATGTCATGAACGATCATAAAGCAGATCAATAAGATAATAGAAGTACCTAATAACGTTCAGTTCTGTGGGAGATAAATAGTTCTTACGACTATGCAAATAAAATATATAATATAATTTAACAAATGTACTCATTACAAATCGAAACGCTAGAAAATGAAGATGGGATAAATAGGAGCTCGATGATTTACCGTTTAATGTGTAGGTATGAAACTGACTTTATGCCTCATCGTCGCCATCATTAGCTTATTAACTTATTGTACTGCACCTTCACCCTTAAACTCAAATACAGAAAGGGCTCAGTGTGTATTAGTGGGAGCTAGTGATTGCACATGCAGTCGGGATCAACGGTTTGAACTACGTACCGTACGTAGGATCACGATATAATATAATATTTCATAATACATTTGCTCGTAAATCGTTTCTTACTGCACCAATTTCAATATCATGATCTATCACATTACACACGCGTGCGCGTAATGTAAAGTAAAACGCACGGCTTATTTTGTTCCGTCTAAAAACGAACGATACTTTTTTAAATCTTAGCAAAGAGTTTTTATGTCAGAAAGGTAGGCAACATTTTCTAAATAAAATTAACTTTGGGAGATAAAATATAATATATAAACATTTAATTCTTTATGTTGATTCTATTTGACAATAAATTACAACCATGTATCGGTAACAAATTCACAAAAATATTAATTTACTTTATTAGTAACACTCGCTGCTTTTTGTTCCTTTGCCTAAAAAAAGCGTTGAAGCGCGCGCACCGCTAATCTGTGAAAAAGTATTTCTTTTTTTTTTCGCTGTATTGTTTTTATTTGAAAATATTTTCAACTAATAACGAATTTATTAATTTGACACCGCCAGAAATCGGAAAAGGCTACGCTAAGATAGATACTTACAGTCAAGCGTATCAAAATTTCATCTTATGGAAAACAATCAAAGGTGCCAATTCATTTTCAGAAAGTACGTAGGTAGTATTATTTCCTCGCAAATGTGTTATAAAACGTCGTATGGCATACGTGCGGTTTGATAATTACAGCCTCTGCCTTCTTATAGCCCTCACCTACGGCTCGGGCTAACAATATCGCCTCGGCTGTAATTCTCAACTTACCGCACTTATATCATAATGTACTATTATTACCTACACTGATATTCGAATTAAGAATTTAAAAATGGGATATTTTTAAATGCACAGCAAATAACTTATTACTTATCAAGTTATTTACAGCAATTAAATTCTTTTTACATCAAAAGAATTATTTTACTGCAAATAAAACATATGTTGAACAAAACTAGTGCTGAAAATAATTCAAAAACATAAATCTAAATCTGTAGTAACAAAAAACTTGTTTAATTATTGTACAGAAATATGATTTTCATATCAAATATACTGATTACACAGCAAATATATCGATGGCATAGAAAATAAACCAGGGCTTAGACGCATAATACTCACACTCATAACAAAACAACTATTTTTGTAACAGGTTTCCCATTAAGCATTTCAAAACTTGCTCAACATTGGGACACTTTTGATGGTTATAAAAATAAGGCGAGTGTGCTTATGACCACACGAAAGAAGTGAAACTTCTTTATCTCCAATGATCTGAAAATCATAAAGTTAACCTGAAGATTTTTGATAGAAAACAACCACCAATCTGCGCTGGGTCCGTTATCATCCCCTAATCCGCACTGGGTCCATTATCACTCACCAATCCGCGCTGGGTCCCTCATCACCCACCAACCCGAACTGGGTCCGTTATCATCCACCAACCCGCGCTGGGTCCGTTATCATCCACCAATCCGCACTGGAACCGTTATTAACCACCAATCCGCGCTGGGTCCGCTATCACCCACTAAGCACTAGATTCATGTATATTGTGACGGGTATTGTTCATTGTTTACCGATGAGTCACCAATGATAATAATCGTAACGTGGAATCGTAACACATTCGCCAGTTTACCCCCAAAGTTAAGCGTGCCTAAAAAGTTTTACTTCAATAATTAGATTCTTATGTCAATTAAAATGGTGTTTCGCTACTACTCGCGCTTTTTTAGGCAAAGTAACATAAAACAGCCAGTCTTACTAATAAAGTAAATTAATATTTATTTGCATCTGTTACCGATACATGGTTATAATTTATTGTCAAAATGAACCAAATAAAAGAATTAAATGTTTATTTATTATATTTTACTCCCAAAGTTAATTTTATTAAGAAAATGTTGGCTACCTTTCTGACATAAAAACTCTTTGCTAAGATTTAAATAAGTATCGTTCGTTTTTAGACGGAACAAAATAAGCCGTGCGTTTTACTTTACATTTCCGCACGCGTATAGACGCTTTACGAGCAAATGTGTTATAAAATAACTTTACACAATCATTTTAATATAGTACACTTTCATTTTTTATTTTATTCTATTAAGCTATGGAATTAGGCTGAATGTAAAAAATAGACACTTGCACAGTTTGAATTTAATTCTCGCGCTTCCCATACAATTTTCTGCCGATCGTGTTGTTTGTTTTCGGGATTTCAGAAGTTTTGTAAAATACTTTTTTGTTACTTAGCTACTTTGTTTATTTTTATTGTTCCTATGAGTGACTATACAGTAGTGTATGCAACTGCATATAATTTAGGTATTAAAACACTCGAGTCAATCTATTATCGCATTGCAACAGACTCATGTCCCTTCTTATTATGACAGTCGCTTAAACTACTATTATAGTGCCTGCAATTATAAATGTTTGAGAGTTTAGTTAGAGGTTTAAATTATCTCGTAAATGCAGATACATATTTTAATATTTAAAAGCTGTCATACCTTGAAAGCGTTCCGGAATTTCTTCGACATGATGTTGTAGAGGATTGGATTGATCGCCGTCGACAAAAAGTACAGCACACCAGATAGATGAGTCAGGATACCGTGAGCCTGAAAAAATTATAACACTTAATTTAAAGAGATTATTTATTATATTCTTATTTTAAGCTTTAAACTGAATAAAAAATTTAAAGCAAATTTTAATAGAAAAATTCCACTCGGACCACGTATCAGACAAGTGTCGAACGCGCCTTACGCCACGGTAATATTATATATATAGTATTCTATCTTCATACAAATGGTCGGAAAGCGAGTCATACCTATGCCAATCGAGTTCGCGTATCGCATTTATTAACATATTTGCGCAATTTTAATTCAACCCCGTCGGAAATACTTATCGAGTGATAGGCTGTTGCTGCCAGTTGATTTATGAACATATAGTAACTTGACGACATTTCTAAAGCGACGTTCTGATGGATATATTGGCCGAAAGTCAAAAGTATTGTTACCAACCGATTTTGAAAAGTTTTTGAAGGTAGCTCCGTAATGTCAAAATACTTGGCAACAAAGAAGGTCAGTTGAACTTTATAACTACAAGTTTGTATTTTCGTCGCAATTGTGTTGAAAAACGTCGTATGCAGCTCGTGTGCATTGATCATTACACACTCAGCGTCCTTACCGAGTTACAATAATGTCTCGTTTATAGTGACCAACTTATCACACTTGAATCACTGTTATAATGTACAAGTAAATATAACATGTAAATAAATTAAATTGAGGCCTAAGATTTTTTTGAAGAAGGAACCTACGCCTAGTCGTATAAGTACACTAAAATATTAATATATTCGCATTTAATTAAGTGCATCTTCTTCAAGTATTTTATGAACTACATTTATAACCTGGTACATATTAATTATAACCTACAATTTTTTTCCGTATTACTTAGGTAGCAGTTGAGCAGCTGGCTATACGATTTATGACATTTGATAGCATCATTGTAAATTGACACAGACTACATTAATGAGTTGCCGCATTTTCGCAGCTGTTGTTTTTTGACAGCGCGGTATCTAGTTGAGTGAAGCGAGACCAATCATTCATCTATTGTTTAAAATAATATTCTTTTATTGAATTATATAAGAATAAAAATCAGCAGTCGGGTTTTTTACAAGCTTTTAATTAACTTGCAATATAGGTAGGTATGTAACTATGTTTGTTCGGGTGGAATCTTGCAACTCAATTTTGAAGCAGATATCTTCAACCGGTTAAATTTTGTATATACACGTTTTCTTTAAAAAGCACGATTAGCTGTGTGACGTCATTCTAAATCCAACAACGCGGAATAGTTATTTTTAATGCATTCCTACGATATGGGTATCAAATTAAAGGGCTTGCGGAGAACAGCTCGAAATATAAAGTGACGTTACTCTAAATCCAACATGGCGGAACACTTATTTTCATTGCACTCATACAATATGGGTATCACATGAAAGGACTAATGAAAGTAGAATACGAATGCGAGTTAAGCTCCGGTGCTCCATCAAATTAATTAGAAATAAAAATTAAATGTTCTAAGAAGAATAAAATAAACTTTTGAGTTTTACTATCAACTTATAATGTCAAATAAAATATATACAATCACAAAACTAGAAAGAAACTCAATTATGTAGATGAAATTAAAATACTGTAGGCGGGCAGCCCTACCGCGTGTTAACGCCCCGCTCGGTCGTAGGCAGTTATTTCAAGGACAGGGCCGAGTCACAATACTGTATAGATAATATTACCGTGCTTACGCTGTTTTTTTAACATTTCTTATAATTTTTAGTCTTTGAAAATTCAGGAGTAACCCACAATGTCAAATGAATACCTTTACAAGTATTAAACATTTGAATAAAGAAATTGTAATTGTAGGGTAAACTATATAATGATTGGCCCCTTAAGCGGAATTCTTTCATTTGTTTGTCTGTAGTAAATTAATATAAATTAATAAAAAAATCGGAAAGCAAAAATAATACGTTTCAGTGATTAACATAAGTGCCAATGATTGCACTCCCATACTAGAGATTAATCCAAAGAATGGCACACCTATACTTTAATGATTTGTTGAATTTTATATATTTTTAGTAAAACGCTGCATCGCTGTATCATCTATGCAGTGTTTACATTTTACTAATTATGTCGAAAAAGTTGTCTCCTTTTCTGGTTTTCGCATTGGTTTAATAAAATTTAAACACATTAGCTAATTTAAAATTTAAATATTTGACATGGTTATCAGATAACATCAGTCAACACGAATTTTGAGTCTGAGTTCTTTGGACCTTTTCTTTTTGGTTTAAATTATTTTGATGTAAAATAACTGGCTGATCAAAAAAAGAAATGATGTGGTGTCGTGGGACACCAGGCAGGAACGAAGTTCCTTCGGCTAATGTAGAATCGACACAAATTGCAAACTCGCTTGTGTATGCAACTGTCGCGCCTGCGCACGTCTCATTTAACGGTTTTATTCCACGCACTTTTTTCCACGGATTTTTTCTTACTGTTTTACTATCACATTTTTTTCAGTTCGGTCGCGCTGTAAAATCCCTATCCCTTCCAAGCCTGTCGCGCCTGTGCACGTCTCATTTAACGGTTTTATTCCGCGCACTTTTTTCCACGGATTTTTTCTTACGGTTTTACTATCACATTTTTTTCAGTTCGGTCGCGCAGCAAAATCCCTATCCCCTCCAAGCCTGCCGTAAGGAACTTCGTTCCAATAAATCCTGAAATAACACCTTAATAAATATCCATTCCAAAAAGTTATTACCAAGTAAAAGGTATCGGATGGGTTATCTAATGTCTTTCCATATATTGCCAGGAGTCTTTGTAGGTGGAACGGCGCCCAGCATATGAACGTTGAAAGCGCCACTGCCGCTGTAACAAATAAATATTAATATCATTTTCAGTAATGTGGCTAGCATGGGTGCCGCCACCCGGGGTGGAAACTGTAGGTTCCACCCAAAACTCAATCAAAACTGATAAAATTACAGTCAGGCATATAAAAAAACCGTTATACGTGTATATCCCGAGACTTTACCACAGGAATTGAAGATAAATAATGTTCCTTTAGACGCTTTTTAAACACCGAGACAGAACTGGAATCTCTAATTCCTGCTGGAAGCGAATTCCACAGGCGGACGGCATGTACTGTGAATGAATAGGATGCAAAGCCAGTGTTATTTTAGGAGGGATTTGAGATGGGATCTACAATGATATGTAGGAGAGTAGACAAAGGAAAACCGCTTCTGAAGATAGGATGGATACGAGGGATTATAGAGGATGTTGAAAAGGAGGCAAAGGATTCTCAAATTCCTGCGCAGACGTATAGGAAGCCACTTGAGTTCTTTACGAAATTTGGAAACATGATCATACTTCCGTAGACCAAAGATAAAGCGGATAGCTAGGTTCTGCAGGCGCTCAAGTTTGTTCAATAAAGTTTCTGTGGCATCTAAGAAGCAAGCATCAGCATAATCGAGAAATGGAAGAATGAGTGACTGAGCGAGTGAAATTTTGGAATGCAAAGGTAAGAAATATTGAAGACATTTGAGGGAATGGAGCGAGTAGTACATTTTTTGACTGACATTAGCAACTTGGGCCGCCCAGGAAATGAAAAAATAGAGTCGATTGTGATACCAAGATTTTTAACAGTGTCGCTAAATGGAATGTCAATCCCATCTAATGACACTGATGGTAAATGAGTGTTATGTGCAGCGTTCTGCATGTACCTACTCCCTATGATTATAGCTTGCGATTTATTAGGGTTCACCAGGAGACCGTAAGGTTTTGCCCAAGTACTAATGCGTGAAAGATCATCATTAATTGCCACTATTGCTGAGTCCACTTCGTCGACAGTAAAATGGCGATAGAGCTGCAAGTCGTCTGGGTAGAGATGAAAGTGGGAGAAGATAACTTTAGTGACCGAATTGATGAAAATGGAAAATAGAAGTGGAGAGAGAACACCGCTCTGGGGTACACCCGCAGAAAGCTCACACCAGTTAGATATAAGATCGTCAAGGCGGATACACTGCGAGCGGCCCCGAAGATACGAATCAAACCAGGAAAGAGTAGAAGAAGAGACATTTAATGAGTGAAGAATGGCAAGAAGGATATCAAAATGGACAGAAATAAAGGCCCTGCTAAAATCAAGTAAAACCAAAGCAGTCAGCTTTTTATTATCCATAGCCCAGCGTATATCGTCAGTGATGTTTAGTAAGGCAGTGACGGTACTGTGGCTAAGACGGAAACCAGATTGGAAGCGGTTCAGCAGACTATGAGATTGTAAAAACGATGAAAGTTGCTTATGGACTATGTGCTCGAGAACTTTGGAAAGATAAGGAAGATTGAAATAGGACGACAGTGACTAGGTAAAGATGGATTGGAAATTTTTGGCAAAGGAATTATGTGCGCCATTTTCCAGATTTTAGGAAAAGATTTAGATGTCAAGGAAAAATTGAAAATATGGGTAATTAAAGGGAGCAGGGTATACAGAATGGGACTAAACATTCTCGAGCACAATTGGTCCTCGCCAACTGACTCTGAGGATATGGTCAGAATAGATTTTTTAACGTCGGTTTCTGAGACAGACGTGAAGTCAAATAGGGGGCATTTAGGTCTTGGGAGTGAAGAAAGCTCTGTGAGTGTATCAGATATCATATTGTCGTCGAAACATAGGGGAGGAAGAGAGAAATGCTTATTTAATGTATTTAGGTCCGTGCCTGTGGGAACAGTAGAAGCAGGCTTGCCTACACCCACCGAACGAAGAAATCTCCAGGTATCTGCTGGATTGCGATTGGACAGAGAATCATAGAAGAAACGTTAAATAAGTTAAGTATAAGCGAGTTAAATTTACAAACTTTATCGTCATTGGACGACGCCTGAAATACAGACGACCAATTCATACCCTCGGCGGCTTGTCGTAATGAGTCAGGATCAATGTCTTTGTAATTGCGGCGCAATATAAAACGGGGTTTAAATTTGGGAGGTCGAAGTCTATATGAAAGAAAGATAAGATCATGATAAGAGAAACTAGCAGTTAAATGTCCGTGAGAATTCACTTTGTCGGGGGAAGAGACTATCATAAGGTCGAGAAGCGAAGGTATGCAATTGGGAAAATGATGAGTGAGAGATGTAGGAAGAATATGCAAATCGTATGAAGAAATTATAGACTGTAGTTTAGTTGATCGTGCATTAGCTTTGAGAAGGCAGGTATTAAAGTCACCGGATGCGGTCATTATTGTGGACGGGGTAAGGGTCACGCTGGGGCGCCACCTTAAGCACCTGGGGCTGCTGCTGGACGCGCGCTGGAATTTCAAAGGGCACTTTGAGCGGTAGTCCTCGAGGCTGGTGGGCGCTGCAACGGCGCTGGGAAGACTGGGAACGACTGGCCCCTGGGGGGCTGGCGCAGATCCGTCGTGAGGCGGAGGAGGACCTGATGGGGAGATGGCAGCTGATGCTGCAGTCACCCACATCCGGACTCCGAACCCTAGACGCTCTGCGCCCGCTCCTCAGGGACTGGGCGTCCAGCAAGTTCGGGTCACTGACCTTCCGTCTGGTGCAGGTTCTTACCGGGCATGGATGCTACGGTAAGTTCCTGCACCGGATCCGGAGGGAGGCAACCCCGTCTTGTCATGAGTGCGGCGCTGCGGTGGACACGGCGCAGCACACCCTAGAGGAGTGCCCGTCGTGGGTGCAACAGCGCGGTACTCTGACAGCGGCAGTGGGGATGGATCTCTCGCTCCCCAGCGTGGTACGGGCCATGCTGGGAAGTGACAGATCCTGGCAGATGGTGATCTCCTTCTGTGAGGAGGTCATCTCACGGAAGGAGGCGGCGGAGAGAGCTCGCGAGGAACAAGCCCACGCGAACTCTCTTCGACGCAGGAGGGGGAGGACTGGTCGGCGGCGCCGAGCCCGCCTGCTAGTCTTCTAGCGGTACCTTCTGTGACTGCCAGGGAGGGGGTGCTCCGCAGCACCATCGCGAGGGGGTAGGAGTCCCAGGCGTAACAAGCGGCGACTCATAACTGGACCCCGCAGTTACGCCTGGAGGGTGAGGGGTAGATCGGGTAGTTGGTTTACCTGGTAGGTACGGGAGCTGGTCGGCTGGCTAGCCGCTCGGACTGCGGTCCGTGAGACTAGCCAGGCGACGCTGTGAACGGAGAAGCCCAGGATAGGCTTAAGCGGGTGCGGACCGGGCTGCTGTTCAGGGGCGGGGTGGTTTGACGTATGCCACGCTTGCGTGAGTGTACGTCAAAGTATACCCGCACCGACTAGCGGCCCTCGGGCGGCTCGCCGCTTGCCGAATGCACCACGCAATTACCGGCGTCGCGAGGGTTTGTTAACAGCAAACCAACCTGGCGTTGGTCATTGTTGTGGATATAATACCACCGTCATCGAAAAAAAAAAAGGAATTAAAGTCACCCATGATTACCAGATGTTGATAGCTCGGCCTCAAGCAACTTATCAAAAGAATCGAAGTAATCTATAGTGAGATTTGGAGAATAAAATACACCGAGAGATAGATATTCTGCTGAGGCACTATAAAGGGAAGGAGACGTACTAATAACACGAGCCGGTATGTCAGTACGCAAGTAGATCGCTACCCCGCCACCACCCTTACCGGTCCTTTCATTGCGAAAGAGATTAAAACCCGGAAGAGCAAACTGCGAAGAAGGAAAAGAAGGTTTAAGAAAAGATTCAGATATAAGAAGAGCATCGACTGTCGAGCTGCAGATAGACCGAGTGATGCGCAGGAATGCTTTGTACATTGATGTGAGCCACATTAAAATCGTAGCGTTGCTTAGAAAAAGAAGAGGATAATTGGTCGTTCAGGGTCATGGTGGTGTCAGTACTAGCACTGAAGAAACTAGATGTTGAAGAGGAAGGAACATGAAAAGAAACTTTCATTACAATAATGTCAATAATGAGTATAAAAATAAACTTAATATAAATAATTAATATTGGATAAATATACCTAATATACCTAATTTTAAATACAAAATGTAATAATGCTATAGGAGAGTTCATCACACATGCTGCAAAGCGTAGAATTCCGGGTACTTGCATTGTTATATGCCAATAAATACTAAAGGTCAAGACTACAAAAAAAAACTGAATGTAGCGATTAATCTGACAGTGACAGTTATGTACAAATCACTCAAACGTCATTGTGACAAAAGTAAAACTAGTGAATTTGTATTTTGTAAACAAAATTATAAAACATTCTATTTACATTTAAAATACCCCCGTGTTGATAATAAAGTAAAGTGAAAAGTAGGTAACGAAGAAGAAACAAATAACAATCAAATACACACATATCTCTAAACTTTTATAACTACGCGAAAATGGTGTGATGCAACTAGAATTGTTTATGCTAGCTTCAGGAACACTAACGCCTCCTCGTCTTCCTGGCACCCCTTGAAGCCACACCAGCGTCGGCCAGTCTGGGCGACGTCTGGCCTTCTCCGGAAGAGGAATCACCCGCGGCAGATGGGATTTCTGAGATATTGGCTTGCGATCTCGTTTCGGCTAAAACACGCTTTGGCCTCTTGCTTGGGAGACAGACTAAAGTTTTAGCATCACTGGGCGTCTGACCTTCGCACGAAGAGGAATCACCTGCTGCCAAGGGGTACTGTGAGACAATGGCTTACAGTTCCGCTTCAGTATCGATGCGCCTTCGGCCTTTGTCTGGGAGACTGATTATAATTTTGCCATCAGTAGACCAGCAGTTTTTGATCCCGAAGTGCTTCCTAGCAGAAGTAAAGATGCCATGTCGGGGCCGAGTAAGGAATTCCGAGATTGTGATGCCAGTACCTTTAAGTGCAGTCTTGCTATCCCAGACCAAACGTCTATGATTATAGTCGATGAAGCGTACAAGGACAGGTCTTACTCTCACACCTGGAGCACCAAGCCTGTGGCAGATCTGCAACATATCACTCGAGATACCAGGCAATTTCAGTTTACTTCGGAATAACTGTTGAACTTCCTCGGCCAAGTGACTCTTCTCGCTCTCTGGCAAACCATGGATGAGTAGTATCTTCCGCCGCATAGCCATCTCATGCCTGTCGTGTGAGTTAGTAAGCAGCTCAAGTTGCGCCCTTATAGACTTCAACGCCTGCCACACAATAGCCTTAAAGTCACGAAACTCGTACTCGTACGTACGAAAACGAAGACAGTAGGAGATCCAGTAGTGGCCTTCTGCAACTTCTCTTCATATTGAAGCAAACGCGATTCAAAAAGTTTTTCGAGATTTGAATATAGTGAAGCAGATGATAGAAGTTAAGGATTATTATAACAACAGCTGTGTGGGAGCTCCACAGGTACTTATTCCATTAAATAATCATGTAATATTTATAAAATTAAAAGATAATAAATTTAAATTTTCAGAGCTAAAAACAGATGACTTTTCTTTCTGACTACCCACGCAGGAAAAAAAGTTTATAATAAGTTAACAATTATTTTCGCAATCATACTAAAGCTACTCGCGTTTTCAGAAAAAAATATTTTTTTTAGTAAGATCATCGCCAATGCCTAATTATCTACGTTATCGCAAAATCAGATCCGAAAATTCAATTTATCATATCATCCTACGACATATATTATTAAAAATATTCAAATTAAGATCTAAAACTTACCCAACCTCCTAATGACTCTTCGCTGAGAAGTACGTTTCAGGTATCGCATGCTGTTATAATCGTGCCGCCCACTACTCTCTCCAAAAAGTCTGGACGTACGCAGCTTTACAGCGATCACCGCGTACAATACTGAGATCACAGACATTGGCGCTGCAAATAATACGGCACTGGAAAAAATAAAAAATCGACGCAGTCTTTGATTTTTAGTGACACACATAGTCGCATTTTGTCCATTGACTTTTGTTTCTACAATGGAGTTTTGCATCGCCTGCGGTATCGCTGTGAACAATGCGCAAATCCATAGTAATATGTCAATTCGCACTGCTATTGAAAGTTTTGTCATCGCATGGGATATTAAAGGATTACGTACGACAAAGTATTTTTCAACGGTGAAAGCAGTTATTGATAATACTGCGGCAATCGTCGACGTTTCCAATGCCAAACCTAAGGCTATGCAGTAAACTTCGCCAAAAGGATAGGTATAAGGGTTCCACATCTTATAGAGTTCGATTGGTAAACCACATATAAGCAGTACCAAATCTGCTGTTGCCACGTTGTATATATAGAAATTAGTAGCGGTATGCATATGTGGTTTCTGTGATATAACGACGCAAGTGCTTATATTAAAAAGAGCACTCACAATTAATATCAAACAGTATATGATACTCAAAGGTACTAATAGGCCGTAAGAGTAAGATTTCGGAAATCCTAAAGACTCCATTGTGACTGGCACTGGCGGATTTCACTTGCACCACTACCACCACCACCACCTGTGAACAAAAAAAAATGTTAAAATAGTCATTATGATCCGCTTGAAGTATTTTTTTAAACTTGATTCAAATAATACTTGCTTTACCCCATACAATGATGTCAATTTTACATGTACGTTTCGATATTTTTCTATGGGATAAAGCTAGTTTTAGTTGAATCGAGATTTAGCAAATTTGCTGTAAGTGGACCTAAAACCTTAAAACCGCTTTCTCGTTCACGTCCATATATTTATCGACTTACGTTCATAGTTCAATACGGAAGGGAGCAGCCATAGTATCATAAGGCTAAGTACATAATGTTCGCACGGTACAAGACCAAAATAAACAGCTATTATCGTCCACATTAAAAATGACATAATATACCGCCAAATCCTGCATATATATTTAAATTGTTGTACAAATAAATGACGACTCACATCTTGAAACGTTGCGTTTTTTACGACAATAGGGCTTGACTCCAATTTATCGACACCGCAATATCGGTGAATTTGGAAATCGCCATTACCACAATAAGGTGGATGGAATATTAATAATAATATTAGGAACAGAACAATCGTATTAAATTCGACAACAGCAATGACAATGTCGTAAATTAATTTAAAAAAATATATATGCAGTATGTCTGAAAAAAGGTTTCAAACATTAAAAAAATTAAAAGTAAGTACTGTAAACGATTGTATAACACATTTGCTCGTAAAGCGTTTCTTATTGAACCAATCTCAATATCATAAAATCTATCACATTACACACGCGTGCGCTAATATAAAGTAAAACGCACGGCTTATTATGTTCCGTCTTAAAACACGATACTTTTTTAAAACTTAGCAAAGAGTTTTTATGTCAAAAGTTAGCCAACATTTTCTTAATTAAATTAACTTTGGGAGATAAAATATAATATATAAACATTTAATTCTTTAATTTGATTCATTTTGACAATAAATTACAACCATCTATCGGTAACAAATTCACAAAAATATTAATTTACTTTATTAGTAACATGGCTGTTTTTTGTTCCTTTGCTTAAATAAAGCGTTGATGCGCGCGCATCGCTAATCTTTGAAAAAGTTCTTTCTTTTTCTTTTCGCTGTATTGTTTTTATTTGAATGTATTGTCAAATAGTAACGAATTTATTTGACACCGCCAGAAGTCAAAAAAGGACTCTACGTTAAGACTCTTGCCCGAAAATCCACGGATAAATACTTACAGTGAAGCGTATCAAAATTTCATCTTATGGAAAACAAACAAAGGTGCAAATTCATTTTTAGAAAGTACGTACGTAGGTAGTATCAAAATGCAGCATTTCTTCAAGCTCCAATTCAATTTCTATGATGGTGGTATAGGTAATGGAGTCAGGATTATGCAAGACTCCGATAACAGCTAAAATTATAGGTCAAGGTTGCAGCAGAATCCTAAGGTTTTTTGGGACACCATAAGGCACCAATTACTGCACAGTAGTTGATTCGTATTTCCTTTGCCAATTTTAGATGCATTAGGATTCGCATTTATTTTAGAATATCTTTGATTGCGTTAGAGTTATAATAGCATATTTATTAGCACTTTTAGTTGGAATACGTTTCCGCATTAAAAGACTCTGCCACTTAAATAACTCTACATAAGATAAGAAATTGTGACTAATTAACTTATTTACATTAAGTGTAATTAATGTCTTCAACTTCTTACAGTTTCCGTTATGAGTGTGAGGAAAAAAAATCCTGAGCTCGTTTATTACATTTTGTAAAACGACTATGGAGTCTGGAGTGAGTCATGCTCATGATAGAAAATAATGGCTTTTTCAATATTGACTCTCAGTTTTATTTTTTCTGACTATTGACCATAGTTATTGTTATTTTTTGGCTTCATCTGTATTTATAAAAGGCAACCGTTACTGACTAATCTATCAACGCACAGCTAAAATAAACGGATCGCGGAACTACTTGTTCAAATGTTTAAAATGATACCTTGATTTAAACGTACATTATCCTTCTTTGTGTTGAGTAAGTTTAGTTAGTGTAGGTATCAATAGTAGTTTTTATTTTAAAAGTACTTTATGTGACCGACTTCAAAATCGAAAATGGAACTAAAAAGTAAAAAATAATATCTGGTTCATGATTTGGAAGTCGGCCGGTAGTGTTGCCCAAATGCAAGAACAAGACGAGACTTAGCCAGTCTTGGTCATGGTCTTGCGCCAATACACCTGGTCTTGGTCTTGCGCTCCCAGTCTTGGTCTTGGTCTTGTAGCAAGAGTCTTGCAAGTCTTGCAATTATTTTTTTTATTTTTTATTCGGTAATAGGTAAGCGCTTGACCATAATTCGCCTGATGGAAAGCAATATTATGGTCTACGATGGAGCGCGCTTACCTAAACTTTAATAAATATCAATAGTCTAATTACCTATTAGACTATTGCTATTTATTAAAGTTAACTTTAGATCTTAGAAAAACATATTAGAATTGGAACGTTGTGAGCTTAAATTGACAAAGCCATAGTAAAGACCAATCAGATTAATAAATGTCTGAAGATTTGATAAGAAATTCGAAAAATCAACTGCCACATGGTTATCAACTGAGCTATATGCCGTTTTCCATGGGAGTAACTGTTTCTTAATAAACATATACTCTTAATAAGCTTACATGTGCTAAAACATGTAAAAAACAAATGAATTACAATAACTTGACTGTATTTTAAAGAACAATATCTGTCTCGAAAGAGATTGAACCCTCAACTTATATGAAATTTAATAAAAGACTTTTATGATTTATCATTTATTTCAATAAAAAATAAAATACAACACAAATCAAATAACATAACAGTACACAACAGCTTTGTCATTAGGTTCTGTTACTTTATACCAATTCTTTTGACCAAGATTTAATACAAAGTAACCATCTGGCTGACTCATCACTTAACCTATTCCTATGTTTTCTAATTACTAATGATGCTTTAGAAAATAATCTCTCAGCAGGTACTGCAGTTGCAGGTATTGAGAGAAAATCACGGGCCATCTGCGATAAAGTCGGAGACTCTGTCTTATGCGTCCTCCACTAATCTAAAATGTCTTCTCAGCTGGCAGCTCTTGGTTTTCTCAGGTACTCCTCCAACTTGTCTATCACTAAGCCTTGAAGACAAGATCCAGATGACGTCGAGGGACATTCATACAGTTTATCAAAGTCTATTACGTCTTCATCTTCATCGCATACTTTATTTTCTTTTCTTGGTAATCCCAGAGATTTGTTCAGTGAGTGTAGACTTTTATATTCTTCATAAAGTTCATTGAACTTGCGCAGGCTTTCTGTTTTAAGTTGCTTCCCCCATATTGTCAGGTCAAAAGTTTGAGCCTTATGCCTTGGGTCTAAAATTAAAGAAGTAAAATAAATCCAGTTGCTCTTCTTATAATGTTTAAGCATTTTATCTCGAGCTGCTTGGAAAGCTTGAGCCTTTCATCCACTTCAGATCGATTAGGTTTCTCATTTAACTGTTTTACCATGGATTCAATTTTATCGAGCAAGAGATTGAATGATACAATGACTAGCGGTAATAAACATATTTTCCTCCACCAAGTTTTCTACTTAAAAGTTTAAAGTTTATTAGAAACTTATGTATTTCTTCGAGTATTTGCCATTCACTAGCTGTGATTTGAAAATCATTCAATTCGGTGACAGAACTGCATAATATGGTAATGCCCGCTCTCACTTTTAAACCAAATCCAATCATATCATGTGTGGAATTCCATCTCGTTGGACAGTCAAGAATGGGATTCAGATTTGATGGCACGCCAGCTGCTTCACAAGCAGACTGAAACTTCTTCTTCACTATCTCACTTCTTTTTATTTTACTGGAAATACTGCGTAATTTTGTTACAAATGTACGCGAGTCAGCAATATTTGGTGCATATTCTTCATCTTCCTCAGTTTCGTCTGCATAGTCTTCATACTGCTGATCTTGCGCGTTAGTGTCAGTCTCACAGTGTAATGCTAAGGTCTTTAATAAATCTTGTACACCAAGGTTTACAAGAGTGAGAAAATGTGAGCAAAGCACCGGAAATGTTGATTGTCTGAATCAAAGTCTGGCGGCAGCTGTTTGCCCAGTTCATATATAAATTTGGTATTTGAATTTGCGTTGTCGTTGTTTTTTATCAATTATGTCATATTCCAATGTATTTTATCAATTATGTCATATTCCAATAAACATTCGTGGATAATCGTTGCAATATCTTCCCCAGTATGTCGACCGCGTGATGGTATAAAATCAAGAACTACAAATCGATACTTTCATTCGCTGTCTATATAATGCATAGTAACCCTGTACTAACTCCTACCAGCAATTGACGTCCACCCATCAATGGTAAAC